TACACTCTCCAGGTCTGCAGTGTTGCCAGCCTTGAAGGGGGCCATTAGTGTACAGCAGTATTCCAGCCTAGAGAGCACAAGCGATTTGAAGAGAATCATCATGGGCTTGGCATCCCAAGTTTTGAAGGTTCTCATTATCCATCCTATCATTTTCCTAGTGGATGAGGTAGATACATTGTTGTGGTCTTTGAAGGTAAGATCCTTTGACATTATCACTCCCAGGTCCTTCACATTATTTTTCCACTCTATTGTATGGTTAGAATTTGTGGTATACCCTGACACATTTTTAATTTCTTCAAGTTTTCCATATCTGAGTAGTTGAAATTTCTCCTCGTTGAACTTCATATTGTTTTGAGTGGCCCACTCAAAGATTTGGTTGATGTCCGCTTGGAGTCTCGTGGTGTCTTCGATGGAGGTCACTGCCATGGTGATCCAGGTGCCATCCGCAAAGGAAGACATGGAGCTATGGCTTACATCTCTGTCTATGTCAGAAATGAGGATGAGGAATAGAATGGGAGTGAGTACTTTGCCTTGTGGAACAGAGCTTTTTACCGTGGCTGCCTGGGACTTTACTCTGTTTACTATTACTCTTTGTGTTCTGTTTGTCAGGAAGTTGTAGATCCATCTACCAACTTTTCCCGTTATTCCTTTATCCCTCATTTTGTGTGCTATTACACCATGGTCACACTTGTCGAAAGCTTTTGCAAAGTCTGTGTATACTACATCTGTATTTTGTTTATCCTGTACAGCATCCAGGACCTTGTCATAGTGGTCCAGTAGCTGGGACAGGCAGGAGCGACCTGTTCTAAACCCGTGTTGCCCTGGGTTGTGTAATTAATGGGTATCTAGGTGGTTGGCCATCTTGCTTCTTAGAACCCTCTCAAAGATTTTTATGATATGGGATGTTAGTGCTATCGGTCTGTAGTTCTTTGCAATTGCTTTACTGCCACCTTTGTGGAGTGGGGCTATGTCTGTTATTTTTGAGTGTGTGTGGGATGACCCCTGTGTCCATGCTCACTCTCCATAAAATGCGGAAGGCACGTGATGGGGCTTCTTGCAATTCTTGATGAACACGGAGTTCCACAAGTCTGGGCCTGGGGCAGAGTGCATGGGCATATCATTAATTGCCTCTTCAAAGTCTTGTAGAGTTAGAATAACATCTGAGATTTTTGGGATGACCAAATTTTGGGTTTCGTTCATAAAGAATTCACTTGGATTGTCGACCCTTAGAGTGGGCAGTGGCTCGCTCAACACTGAGTCATATTGGGTTTTTAGTATCTCACTCATTTCTTGGCTATCATCTGTGTATGTCCTATCCTGCCTAAGCAGGGGCCCAATATTGGATGTTGTTTTTCCCTTAGATTTGGCATAAGAGAAGAAGTATTTTGGTTTTTTTTTTCAATTTCCTTTATGGCTTTTAGTTCTTCCTGTGATTCTTGTCTCCTATAAGATTCCTTCAGCTTAAGTTCGATATTTGCAATTTCATTGACTAGCGCCTCCCTTCATATTTCAAATGTATTGACTCCACTCAGCAGCTCTGTGACTCTTCGCCTTCATCTGTATAGGGAACGTCTCTCTCTTTCTAGTTTACATCTTCCCTTTCTTTTTCTTAATGGAATGTGTCTTGAGCAGATCTCAAGAACCACAGAATTCATTTTTTCAAGGCAAATGTTCAGATCCATGTTGTTTAGGATATCCTCCCAGTTTGTTTCATTTAGGACAAGGTTTACTTGATCCCATTGTATGTTTTTGTTATTGAAATTGAATTTCGTGAAGAGACCTTCATGACTGCTCACATTTTGCTGGTCCGGAGCCCTGTGCATACATGTCTGTACCTCTATTATGCTGTGATCTGAGTGAATTGTCTTTGATACAGTTATATTATGTATCAGATCATCATTATTAGTGAAGATGAGGTCCAGCGTATTTTCTAGTCTTGTAGGCTCTACTATTTGCTGGTTTAATGTGAATTTGTTGCAGAGATTTAATAGTTCGTGTGTATATGAATTTTCATCTGCGCTGCCTCCCGGGGTGATCTCTGCTAAAATATTGTTTGCTATACTCCTCCATTTTAGGTGTCTCAGGTTGAAATCTCCTAGTACAGTGGACCCCCGCTTAACGATCACCTCCCAATGCGACCAATTATGTAAGTGTATTTATGTAAGTGCGTTTGTACGTGTATGTTTGGGGTTCTGAAATAGACTAATCTACTTCACAATATTCCTTATGGGAACAAATTCAGTCAGTACTGGCACCTGAACATACTTCTGGAATGAAAAAAATATCGTTAACCGGGGGTCCACTGTAGTAAGATTTTTGGAGCATGAGTTGGGAGATTTTCCAGACAGTGGTCAATTTTCTCAAGCTGCTTCTGGAATTGCTGGGAAGTTGCATCTGGAGGCTTGTATACTACCACAATGACAAGGTTTTGATTTTCGATCTTTACCAGCAAAACTTCAGCTACATCATTTGAGGTGTTTAGTAGTTCTGTGCAAATGAGCGACTCTGTGACATACAGGCCAACACTCCCTTATTGCTTGTTTAGTCTGTCGCAACGGAATAGGTTGTAACCTGGGATCCATATTTCGTTGTCATAATGATCCTTTATGTGGGTCTCTGTGAATGCTGCAAACATTGCATTTGACTCCGTGAGCAGTCCCTTGATGTAAGAAATTTTTTTTTTTTTTTTTGCTGCTTTAGACCCTGTATGTTTGCAAAGACAAATGTCGTAGTAGTGGAATTTAGGGGGGTTTTATTTGCTGGCTCAAGTATCTGTTGTTCTGGGGTAGAGGCCAATGTCTGTGCCTCTGCTCCAGAAGTGTTTTCAGGTTGTGTAGGATTATTGTCATTTCTTGCCAGTCTTTTTACCCTCCTGGCCCTGAAAAACCTCTGTCTCTGGAGAGGTTGTGGCTCCTCTCTTTTGTTTCCCGTAGTCTGGCTGGTCTGTGTCTTGTAGTCCCCTTTAGATGATGTGCTTGGCAGTATGCATTGTAGTATTTTCTTTCATGGATTGATGAGTGACACATTTCTGGGTGAAATAAATTGCAAGATGGGAAGTTGCACTCTCCTGTTGTCATGTGGGTGCAGCATTTTTTGGGATGGTCAAAGGTGCATGTTCCACCTGTTTTACCAGATATACCGTGCCTGCAGATACCCAAGGCATAGTATTTACATAGATTGTACTTTTGTTTGCTAGGATTTATTGTAGCTACATTCACTGCTGGTGCATTTATTTTTCCTGTTTCCTCAATATCTTTTACCCCTGTATGGACATCAGTGCTTCCATCTCCAGCAGTATTTCTATTTTGAACCTCTGTGTCAGTATTTCAAATCACCTTTATCTGATGATATTAATGCTCATCTAGTCAAGGGTAGTACTCTAGTATTGCAGTTCATGCAGATTTAACACTTAAATTGAATGTTATTATTCTATTAGTATTATAGACAGATATATATTTAGTCTGAATCCACATTTATCTTACATATGAGCCAGAGTACATATATGTATTTCACTTCAGATGGGATCTGTGTTAATCATGGCTTTTGGTGCATGAGTGATCACTCAGTAAGTGCCATAAGCACTTCCAAGATAAGTTACCTTAGCTCTAGAGAGCTAAGTGTTCCACTTGTAAGTTTTAAATCCTTCTTAATTCATATAAATTAAGATTACTCATCATATGAGAAAAAGAATATTATGAGTGAGTTTATCAATGTTTGGGACTTTTCTGCTAGGTAGGGAGATGAGCTTAAGCTAATTCCCAGTTTAGGATGTAGGACTTTACTTCGGGTCTGCAGTTAAAAATCTTATGCATTCATATTATGACAAATATGAATTTGGTTTTAAAATCCACCTGAAAATAGGCTATGAGTTAATTTTTCTGTAATATTGTACTTCAGTGTTTTCCACCTGGGTGATGATGATAGAGGCCTTATATACTTTAGCAGCTCATTGAACCTAAACACAGAATATGTACATTTACGATGAATACAACAATTTTTTTTTTTAGAAGATTTAACTTAAACACAGAATACTATTTTTTTTTAATTACACACTGCCACTTCCCAATGTCATCTGTTCTGACTCAAGGTATTACATCTGGTGTTTTAGTAAGCTGGTAGCTAGCTACCTATTAGAAAATATCAATTCTCTAGAAAAACAATAGATGGAAGGAGGCAGACTAAGCTAAAAGTGACAGGGCAGTAAATTCACTGATGAAAAGGAGGCACATATTTAGACATGTTGGTTAATTCTATAATTGTTCACTGAAACTTCCACAGAAAGCAGTTGTTTATTCTTTAAAATGTTGTACAGTATTATAATTTGCAAACATTAAACTATGAATAGTGTAAAAAGTATTAGTAATGTCTTATGAAATCTTATTTGGGATTTGCATTTTAGCATATTTACATTTAATAAGTTCAGTAGCATTTTTCGGTTATCAGGTCTGTAGTGAAATTTGGCTAGTAGGCATGAACATTAATGCCACATTGGCATTGAATATTTCTGTATTCTTTAATTTTTCATTTTATCTTCATCATTAACTGCTTTTCTGATTTATTATTTTTCCTGTACTGATTTTTGTTTTTATCATTTTTTTCCTGTCTCATTCTGTATCCCATTCCCTTTTAGTGCCCCCTAATTATTTTTCCTGCCATTTGTGTGTTACTATTCCATGCAGAGTTATATTGCATAAGTGTTCTCAACTAACCTATTCCTTGCTCATTATCTAGTTAAGTTTTACATAGTTATTCTTCTTCTGACTTCTGGTTACCTCCATAGTCCTGTTTGCCTTGTCTGGCTAGCTGCTCAAGCTTTCCAGTTATCTTTGTCATGATCTTCAGCTTGGAAAGCCATTTTGTCACAATTTTACCTTTGATCCCAGGATACCTCTTGTCCTTTCATTGCTACCCACTCCTCCTAATGCTCCTGGTCAGGTAACATCCCTCTGGCCAGGCTCTCATTGCCCTGCCTCACCACCTTGGCTGCTGGTGTGTTGCAGAAGAAGAGGATGATGGCGATGGAGAGGAACGCCCACAAGGAATGCGGCCACGTCGTGCCTCGCAACTTAGTACTGCCAACAAAGTCAAGCCTTTGCCCCCGTACTCCAGCTTTTTTATTTTCTCCCACACAAACAGGTATGTTTGTGTGCTACAGCTCTAAGGCACACACTACCAAACCCAAGCAATAATTTTATCCTCTTTGTTTTCCCTTTATCCCCACCTTAAAAAAGAATCGGCGTGAGTAACACTAGGAATCATGTTTTATGTGGCTGGAGGTGATTTTTCTTATTTTGAAAAACTGATTTATAAATAATGAATACAGTATATATTTCAGCATACATCGCATATTTTGATGGATGTTTACTTAAGTCACAAATACTTGTTAATTATTTTGGTAACTTCAAATATCAACATTAATGTGAAAAATTGCTATTTTCAATTGATTCTGCCACCACCACTAGCGTGATTCTGGGTGAAGACAGAACAAGGCATGGCACTCAAAGCAGTAATGGGATTTGCCCCAATTCTTTGATGCTTTGGCTGAAGTTCTTGTTCCTTGTGTACCAACGCATGGTTTCTGTTGGTTTAGTTAATCCTTAAAGGTCGCATTCTCCATCATTCTTTTTCTAGAGGGGGACTATGAAGACACTGAAGGCGAGGATGGAGAGATGGTCCGAGTATCACGATCTCCCCAAAACGAAAGCAGCATCACAAAAGTTCAGCCCATTCCAAAATACTCCTCTTTCTTCATTTTTACCCATACGAACAGGTGATCTTAGAGCCCTCTCTACTACTGTAACTACTGTATCATCTGCTGTATACTACTGCTACTTCTGTAACTCCTGTATTATTGACGACTCTACTTTGTGTGCTGAGATGATGGGTGTTTTGTGTGGTAAACAGAAACAATTTTGGAAAATAAGGAATGGTCCAGTGACACTGCTCCATACTGCCTATGTGTGGATACTGGTAAAACAAGGTTTTTATTTACACTCAAGTATGAAGGTCCAAAAGTAGATACAACACAGCTCTTTCATGTCAGTCTGTATTAAGTTAAGAGGTGGGACCCAGAGTCGAAACAAGTTATCTACATTTATTCTGTAAATATCAGTAAATAATTGCAGTACAGAATAATGCTTTTGTGAATGAAATTTGAATCACCACTTAGACATTATTGCAAAAAAAAATTATAAATATTTGGTAATAAGAGTGCCTTTATTAAGTCTGCTAAATTCAGCTGGCTTCAAGGGAAACATTTTATTTTAAGTAGTCAGATAGTCCAAACTTTTTGTAAACAGACTTTGCACATTGATTTTATCTCTTATTGCATCTTTCTCTAGGGGTTTAAATGCTGAGCAGTAAATATTAATGAGAAATATGAGATTTAGCAACAGGAAATATTGTTTATAAACTATTTCTGCAGTGGGAACCTGGGGGGTCCAGCTGGAACTTTATAACAGTTACTGTCTTCTTACCTCTACTTGTGTCAATACTTATCACTAGTGATGCATTAAGATTCAGCTCATTCCTCATCTTTTTAACTAGGCAGCCTTACAGATATTGTCTGCGGTCACCCTTCATGATACCTATTTCTTCCTAAGGATGATAACTGCCCTACGTGCCTCACCCACAAGAGTTTTAACTTTGATGATCCTAATGGTGATTTCTTGTCAGTTGTGCTTTACATTTACCCCCTCCCCATCAGTTAATAGTGTTGTTATAATCATTGGAAAGTGCCAAACCCATAGGGATGATACATTGCCAGGGGAATATGAAACAGTCAGGTTTGATCCAAGAAAGGGTTGGATGGATATAATTTTTTGGATCAAGAACCCCTCACCAACATCAGGGCACTTCTCATGAGGCATCCTTTCCATATAGTGGCTTTTGCCCCTTTGCTTCTAAAATTTTCTTAAGACATACTTTTAATTAACCCTTTCAGGGTTCGTGCCGTAGATATACGGCTTTACATTGAGGGTCCAAACTGTAGATCTACACCATGAGCTAAGCTTACTCTGATAAACTGTGAGCAGTAAATTTGGGCCTAGATATGAGAGAATACATCTATGTGGTATGTGTGCACCACATAAAACAAATCCTGCAGCACACAGTGCATAATGAGAGAAAAAATCTGAGACCGTAATTATCGATTAAAACAGCGACTTTGCAGTGTTTTTTCGTAATGTTTTTTATAGTTGTACAGTGGTCCCTCGTTTATTGTTGTTAATTTTTTTACATTAAATATGGATGTAGTACATAAATAATACAATGGGACATGATGAATGAAACATTAACAGCATAACACCTACCTTTATTGGCGATTCTTCTTAGTGTATGGAAGACTGGAGGAGGAGAGAGATTGGATTAGTTACTGTTTGGAAAGGGAATCCCCTTCCACCAACACCTCAGGTACCAAGTCCTTTTCTGGGGTTACATACTTCTCTTCTCTGTTTCTTAATGCCACTAGGCCCAGCTTGAGAGTCACTGGAGTCCTGTCTCACAAAAAAAGTGTCCAGAGAGCCCTGTTTCTGGCATCTCTTTAAAACTTCCCTAAAATGGGCCAAGACTCTGTCACTGTACAAGTTGCCGATATGGCTTGCAACATCCTTCTCAGGGTGATGTTTCTCCATAAATCTTTCCATCCTACCCCACATTTCAAAAATCTCCTTAATTTCTAAAGAAGGCACCCACTTCCATCTCTCTTCCTCCTCCTCTGCAGCAAGATTCTGAGCTGCGATCTGCAGCTCCTCAGTGGTTAGCTCTTCATTGTGGTCCTCCACCAACTCTTCCACATCCTCCAAACTCACATCCAACCCCATGGAACTCCCCAATGCCACAATAGATTTTACAACTGACATAGGCTCATCAGGGTCAGCCACAAACCCTTCAAAATCCTTCTTGTGGACACAATCTGGCCACAATTTTCTCCAAGCAACAACAGCTTCCTTGATTTCTTTTTTCTTTGCCACGATGGAAGATATGGTTGTATGGAGTTTGTTATACATCCTGGCCAGTTCGGCCACATGTACGCCACTTTCATATTGTTCAGTGATGTTTTTCTTAAATTCAATCATATTTCTCACCTTCTTTACCAAAGGCTTGGCACTAGGAGCTTTCTTTGGAGCCATGGTAGCTTATTTAGCATTTGCAAGCACTAAAATGAATGGAATATTGTGAAATATTTCGTATGAACAAGTGAGGGGACCATCGCTCACTGGTAAACAGTGGCACACTGGCTGGGAAGGGAGGCCGAGGGGGCTCAGAGCCATGAGTACACGTCCAGGACAAACAACAATTAGCGAGTCAACCGACCATTTGCGAGCCAATGTTTGGACAAAAATAATGCGACGATTTCCGAAAAGGACGACTATCGAGCCCGACGATTATCGAGGGACCACTGTATTTGCGATTTCTTGGTCTCATTTCATAGAATGGAAGATATATTACAGAAATAGAGATGATTTTGATTGGTTTTAGTACTGAAAATGGCTTGAAACTGAGCTCAAAGTAGCAGAAATGTTCAATTTTTGCCAATGTTCAAGAGTAAACAAATGACCTCACACGTCTAATACACTCCAGTTGGTGGGTCTAATATACATTCACAAGTGTGATGATATTATTTATACAATTATTACAGTATTGCATAACAGTAAATCTTCAATTTTTTGGTTTGAATAAAAATTCATTATGTGAATAAAAAATCAAAATGGAATTCATTTGTAAAGCCTGAAAATGTAACTAATGAACAGAGAAGTTAGTTTAGTGCCAGGAGTGCTTGCATTGTTTATTCTGGACCCTATTTTGAAATTGGAATATTTTGAACTTTGCATGAACCCTTTGACTGTTTTGGTCGTATATATACGTCTTACGAGCCACCGTTTTTGACGAATATATATACTCATAAATTCTAGCAGCTTCAAATCAAGCAGGAGAAAGCTGGTAGGCCTACATGTGAGAGAATGGGTCTGTGTGGTCAGTGTGCACCATATAAAAAAAAATCCTGCAGCACGCAGTGCATAATGAGAAAAGAAAAACTCTGACCGTTTTTTTAATTAAAACGCCGACTTTCTGGTCTATTTTCGTATAGTATTTATGGTTGTATTCTCATTTTCTTGATCTCATTTGATAGAATGGGAAACATATTATAGAAATAGAGGTGATTTTGATTGATTTTACTATGAAAAGAGCCTTGAAATGGAGCTCAAAGTAGGGGAAATGTTTGATTTTTGCCGATGTTCAAAAGTAAACAAATGATGTCATTGTCCAATAACTGTCCAAGTAGCCATTCTAATATGCAGTCATGAATGGGTTGACATTATTTATACAATTATTGCAATATTGCAGTAGTCTGCATAACAGTAAATCTATTTTTTGTTTGAATAAAAATTTAAAATAGAAAGCAAGAGTAATATCAGAGGGGCCTGGAGATGTGACTGATGAACAAAGAAAATGTTATTTTCGAGCCAGGAATGTCTGCATTGTTCATTCTGGACCCTAATTTGAAATTGGCATTTTTTTTAATTTTCATGAAATTGGCCAAATTGCAAATTTCTGACCACGTTATTGGGTAGTTAAAATTGGCAAATGGGCAGTTTTTTGTACTCAGTCAGTAGAACAAATGGAGTTCTAAAGAAATAGCTATGAGTTTAGTCGACTGGAACAATGGAATTAGCCGACAATAGGGCTCAAAGTGGGCAAAATTGCCAATTCGTAAATATCGCCGAGGTCGCTAGCTTTGTGAGAGCGTAATTCCATCAGTTCTCCATCAAATTTCGTTCTTTTGGTGTCATTACAATCGGGAAAAGATTCTCTATTTTTTTTTTTTTTTTTTTTTTTTTTTTTTTTTTTTTTTTTTTTTTTTTTTTTTTTTTTTTTTTTGCGACACCAGGAGACACCTCAGGATTTGGCATTGCAACAGTCAAGGGGTTAAATTGGCCAGATTACCAATTTCCGATCACTTTATTTTGTAGTTGAAACAGTTGGCTTGGCAATTTCTTGTGCTCAATCGATAGAATAGAAGTAGTACTAGTGAAATAGCTAAGAATTTGGTCAACTAGAATAATGTAATTTGCCTAAAATGAGAGTTAAAGTCGGCAAAATCGGTTATGCGTAAATATCGCTGACACATCAAAATT